TTATTCCAGATGAATTTTATGATTGTCTTTTCTAGATCTGTGAAGAATGTGTCTGGTACTTTGATTGGCATTGCATTAAATAGGTAGATTAATTTGGGTAGAATTGCCATTTTGGCTATATTAATTCTTCCAATCCAGGAACATGGGATGTCCTTCCACTTTTTTTGTGTCATTTTCAATTTCTTTTTTTAGCTTCTCATAGTTTTCCTTGTGGAGGCCTTTAACTTCTTTAGTTAGATTTATCCCTAAGTATCTTATACTTTTGGTGGCTATGGTAAATGGAATCTCCGTCTGCCTGTTGTTTGTATATAGAAATGCTATAGATTTCTGTATATTAATTTTGTATCCTGCATCTTTACTGTATTCATGCATTACTTCCAGAAATTTTTTCATGGAAATCATTGGGTCTTCTATGTACACAATTATGTCATCTGTGAATAGAGAGAGTTTCACCTCTTCTTTTCCTATTTGGATGCCCTTTATTTTTTCCTCTTTTCTCATTGCATTGGCGAGGTCTTCCAGTACTATATTGAAAAGGAGTGGAGAAAGCGGGCATTTATAAGGTGAGTTTCTTGGAGGCAACAGATAGAGGGTTTCTGTTTTTTTAATCCATTCAGCCAGTCTATGTCTCTTAATTGGAGAATTGACATTCAATGTAATTATTGATATTTCCGTACCTGATCTTATCGTTAAGTGAGCCATTTCCTTTATTGCTTTTTGTTCTCATATAACTCTCTGTCTGACTTTTTAGTTTTCCTGGTATAGTACTCCCTTCAGAACCTCTTGAAGAGCTGGTCTGGAGTTGGTAAATTCCTTCAAATTTTGTTTATCCGAGAATGTTTTTTATCTTTTTTCCCCATATGAAAGATAATCTTTCCAGGTATAGTATTCTTGGTTGAAATTGTTTTTCACTCAACACTTTGACTATGTTTCCCCATTCTTTCCTTGCCTGCATTGTTCCTGCCGATAGATCCAATGTTAGCCTGATGGGATGACCTTTGTAAGTAACTTGATGTTTCCCTCTTGCCAACTTTAGTATCTTGTCTTTGTTTGTTGTTTTTGCCAGTCTGAGTATGATTTGCCTTGGAGAGGAGCTTCTTGGGTTGATTCCACTTGGGATCCTATGTATTTCTTGGATCTGGATATTTGAATGACTTTCTAGGTTTGGAAAGTTTTCATTTCATGGAATAAATTATCTAGGCCCTTATTATTTTCTTCCTCTTCTGGGATACCAATTATGTTGGGGAGCTTGATGGTATCCAGTATTCCTCATATATTATCCTTATTTTTCATGGTTGTTTTCTCAATCTTCTTGATGCTTTTATCTAGGTTCAATGTTTTGTCTTCTATGTTAGAGATTCGCTTTTTCACCTGATCTAACCTACTTTTAATACTTTCAAGGGAGGTTTTGATTTCTTGTATCACATTCTTCAACCCTAGAAGTTCCATCTGGTTCTTGTTTAAGGTATCCGTTTCTTCTTTCAAGTCATGAAAGGACTTCCTCATCTCCTGGAGCTCCTTGTCTCTTTTCTCTTCCATCTCAGTTAGTTTGGTCACTACAAATATTCTGAGCTTCTTATCAGACATGTCCATGACATCCATTGTATTGTCTGTGGGTGATGTAGGCTTGATGATTTCCCTTGAGAGAGAGGCCATTTATTGGTTGCTCATACTTCTTGAGCCTCTGTGATTGTTCCTAGTCATCAGGTAATCTATATGTTGCTTCCTAACTTATTTAAGGTATCGTTGAGTGTTAAAAGTTGTACAGAATTAGAAAATTGATGATTTCTCTAGTGGTTGGCCTACCTGTAGTTCACCATTACCATTAACTACTAGTTACCATTACCATTGCTACTAGTCTTGGACGGCCCAAAGTCCTCCCTGTTTCTAAGGAGTGGTGAGCCTCCAACTGACCTAATAAACAACACCTCACGAGCCAAAAACAAAACAAAACAAAACAAAACAAAACAAAACAAAACAAAACAAGAAATCACATGGCTTGCAATGCGCACTGCATGCTATTTAAATCACTAAAATTCAGAGAGTCCAAAGGTAAGTGGGGAAGGGCCTGAGGATGAGTGACAATTCCTGGGCAGGTGGGCCTGTAGGCACAGACCACCTGGTGTCCGGAACTGCTGACTGGCTCGATCTGGTTTGCAGGTGGGGTGGGGTGAGAGTTTGTCTTACGGTCCCACGCACCAACCTGAGGTCCAAAGAGGAGTAGGGGTGGGGATGCACGAAGGTCTGGGGCGGTCGGGCCTGCAGCCTCAGGCTGCCTGGTGTCTGGAACTGCTGGCCAGCTGGATCGTGTTTGCAGGTGGGGTGGGGTGAGAGTTTGTCTTACGGTCCCACGCACCAACCTGAGGTCCAAAGAGGAGTAGGGGTGGGGGTGTATGAAGGTTGGGTGGTTGGGCCTGGAGCCTCAGGCCACCTGGTGTCTGGAACTCTTGAGCACTTTTTCATATGCTTTTTGGCTGTTTGTATGTCTTCCCTGGAGAGTTGTCTGATCTTCTATCTTCCTATCTTTTAATTGGATTGATTTTTTTTTTTCAGGTAAACCGCCTGACTTTCCTGTATATTCTGGGTAAAATATTTTTAATCTAAAGCATAGTTTAAAAATTGTATCTTGGCTCTTGGGAATCATATCATGGCTCTTGGGAATACTGCTTCAATAAACATGGGAGTGGATGGAGCTGGCAGGTGGCGTGGTGATTGGGGCTGCTTGACTCCCACATGATCCATGTCGGTTCAATTCCCGGAACTGGTGGCTTGCTTTCTCACTTCCTCTCTCTCTCTGTTTCTCTGTCTCTCTCTGGTCAAGTTAAAAAATAAGCAAATAAATAAAATAATTCTTTAAAAAAACAAAAAAAATCATGGGAGTGGAGACTTTTCTTCAACATAGTAATTTCATTTCCATCGAATATTTAGCAGTTAGTGGAATTGATGCATGATATGGTAGTATTTTTATATTTCTGAGAAATCTTCATAGTATTTCAAATATATACATCCATATATATATATGATAGCTGTACACTTTTACAGTGTATATGCTTTTTTCCAGCATTCATACAGTGCATATCACTCAAGACAAAGACATTACCATATACCTCATCATTAGCAAACAACTTTTCATTTTTGTGTCCATGAAACAATTGTTCATCTTTCTCCCTGTTGCCCTCCCTCCCCTATTATCCACCTCTCTTCACTGCCCCATACTATCTCTATTATTTAAAGTTGCCCTCCCTGTTATTACATCCTCCAATATTTTAGTTTCTGCTATAGAGCACAGGCATTCAGTAGATTTTTAAAAAGAATTATTTAACTTTATTTATTCATCCATTTATTTTAATTTGATCAGAGAAAGAGAGAGAGAGAGAGAGAGAGAGAGAGAGAGAGAGAGAGAGAGAGAGAGAGAGAGAGAGAGAGAGAGAGAGAGAGAGAGAAAGCACCACTAGGTCTGGGACTTGAACCATGGTCGGCCATGTGGGAGTGTCCAATGCCTTAACTACCATGCCACTTACTGGTCCTAGCATTCAGTAGATTTTGAGAGGGGACATATAAAGCCTGTGTTTCATAGTTTGGCTTGCTTCACTTAGCATTAAGTCTTCCATATTTGTCCTCTTTATATCAAATGTCAAGTTCTCATTTTTTTTATGGCTTAGTAGCATTTTATGGAGTAGATATGCCACATTTTAAAAATTTCCTTGTTTATTTTTGGACATTTGGGTTGATTCCATGTCCTAACAATTGTCGATAATGCTGCAATAAACATGGATGTGCAAATATTTTTCTGACTGAGGGTTTTCCTATACTCCAGGTAGATACCTAAGAGTGGAATTGCTAGGTTATACGGTTATTCAATTTGTAGATTTTTCAGGAAACTTTATCATACAGTAATCTTGATAGGTTGCATGTGTCCAGAAATTCATCCCTCTTTTCTATGTTATCCAGTTTGTTGGTAGTTAATTGCTCAAAATGATCATTTAGATCCTTTATATTTGTGTGGCATCAGATGTAATGTCTTTTTTTTTTTTTTTCACTAAGCCAGCAGATGGCCTGGTTGAATTTTTTTGTTACCATTCTACTAATCTCAATTTTCTTTATCTCTGATTTGTATTATTTTCTATTACACAAGTTTTTTTTTTGAAAATTGACAAGAGTAACTCTACTTCAATTTTGTTCCTAGTACCCAGAAGAAGTTAAAAAGATAAGCCTGTTGGTGGAAGAAAAGAAGACACCCTGAATCACATGACTAGACAGGAATTCAAGATTACATGTGAGGAACATTTTGATCATGAAGCTAGAAAAGATTTTTGAGCATAAAAAATATACAAAATAGATGATATTGATATTTTTACTTACTGCTCATTTGATGATTTTGACAAAGTTTTGCTAAATTATTTAATTTTAAACAATGGAAGTAGTCTACATGTAGTCAGATCTGGAAATTTTCAAGCAGAAACAGGAAGATAAATCCATAATAAAGGAGAAAACAAATCAACTTGTACTACACTGCAATAAATATTCTTCTTTATTGATGGACAATATTCCATGCTTGAATAAGTGGATATACATAATGAAAAATATTTTGCATAGTAATATGATATATAATTTTAAATTGGCATCATCATATTTAAATGAACTTCTGCTCCAAGGTCATACAAACACAAGCCATTTATTCACATTTATCTTTCCATGAACGCTGCACTTGAAGCCATGTAAATAATTATCTATTTCTGTCAGTGACTATGTAGACACTGTGGACACTGGCTGAAGAAGAAATAGAAACTTTTATCTTTTTTGGAGAGGTTTTTGTTATAGGACATGTGTGCTCACCAGAAAGACAGAAACAGAAAGTGAGAAATCACCCCCCAGGGGAATGGCCACTCCGCAATCCCTTATCCTCCATTCTCCTCTTGAGATCTTGGGCATGCATGCACACATGCTCGGTGTGAGTTTAAGCCACCAGTTCCGGGACATGAACCGCAGTAGACTACGTGGGAGTCCAACGACATAACCATTACTCCAACTGCTGATGATGAAGAAATATAATCTTAAAGAGAAAAAACTGTGCATTTTTGTTTCGGTCAAAAATGAAAAGTTATCTGTTGATGATAATGTGCATGGCAATATCTACATTGACTAATTTGCACTATATTCATGCTGGGAAAAACCATTTTGTATGCTGTAAAGATGTCAACAGTGTTGAACAGTAAATAAAAAATATGTTGTATGAAAAGAAAATAATAAACCCAATGGCAATTTATAAAGAAAATTGATTAACTGTATACAAAAAGGAAGAACATTGGATGCAGAAATATACTAATCAATGGTGGGCACAAAATTGAAAAACTGTGGTCTCAGATTTTCACCTACTGTAAAATTATATAAAAGTTCTTAGTTCCCAAAGACTTTATTTTGCCCCCAGAACAGAACTACAATATGTGAATTTTTTTTAATTGAACAAAAGAAAAAATTACTCAGTAACTATCTTGGGGAAGAAATTATTTCTACAAAACCCATTTAGCTACATGAAATGAGTGGGAATTTCTACATATTTCTGATCAATGGGTAATATTAACTTATGCAAACAGAAAAATGGGCTAAGGAAAAACTTGACTTGGTATCAGGCATATCTGAAAACTTAGTAAGGTGAGATACTTAACTTATATGAAGAAGTTGAAATCAATGTCATAGAAGCTCCAGAAGGTAAAAAAAGGAACAGTTCTGTTTCCATAATCTCCTCAGATTTATTCCATTTCTAGTTCTACTTTGAATCCTGCTAAGGAGGGCATGTCTTCAGTCCCAGTACAGTTGATCCTTTAATAAGTTCCCTCCCAAAGAATCTTCTCAGAGCCCTTTTTATGTCTTTATTCCTCAGACTGTAGATGAAGGGGTTCAGCATGGGTGTGACCACAGCATATAACACTGAAGCTGTTGCACTTGACTGTGAGTTGTGGGTAGCAGCAGAACTAATGTATACACCTATACTTGTACAATAAAACAAGGATACAACTGAGAGGTGAGATGCACAGGTGGAAAAAGCTTTATACTTTCCCTCGGCTGATGAGATTGCATGTATGGCAGAGACTATCTTAGAGTAAGAATAAAGGATCCCACTGGGGGGACCGCCACCCAGCAGCACAGCTGTAACGTAGATCACCATGTCATTAAGAAAGGTGTCAGAACAGGCAAGGTGGACCACCTGATTAAGTTCACAAAAAAAGTGGGGTATTTCCACATGTGTACAGAAGGATAGCCATAAAACCATTAAGCTTTGTAACAAGGAATTCAGGACACTCATGAGCCAGGACACCATAACAAGTAACACACAGAGCTGGGGGTTCATAATGACTGTGTAGTGCAGGGGGTGACAGATGGCCACATACCGGTCATAGGCCATCACGGTGAGCAGGAACATGTCAAACACTGCAAGCAATAGGAAAAAGTACATCTGGGTGATGCAGCCTGCATAGGTTATGACTTTGCTTTGTGTCTGTATATTCACCAGCATCTTTGGGACAGTGGTAGAGGTGAAGCAGATGTCTACAAAAGACAGATTAGAGAGGAAGAAGTACATGGGTGTGTGCAGCTGAGAGTCTGTAATGGTGGCCAGGATGATGAGCAGGTTTCCAACTACAGTGATCAGGTACATAGAGAGGAAAAGCCCAAACATAAGGGGTTGCAACTTTGGTTCCTCTGAAAGTCCAAGCAGAAGAAATTCAGAAATTCTTGTATCATTCTTTGGTTTCATGTAGAGATCATAACTCCTAGGAGAAAGAACAGAAGCATTACTAATTTTCACCCAAAAGGGCACTACTCACATAATTGAAATGCTACCACTTTCATTTTGTATTCAAGAAATTTCCAAATTTCAGATAAGGAACTAATAACCAGAATAACAGGGAACTCAATAAGTTTACCAGAAAAAAAATTATGATCAACCCAATTAAAAGATGGGCAACTGAGCTGAACAGACAACTCTTTAAGGAAGACATATGAGCAGCCAGAAAGTAGATGACAAATGCTCAGTATCTCCTATCATCTAGGAGATGTAAATCAAAACCACAATGAAATACCACCTAACCACAGTCATAATGGCCAATTAAAAAAATAAACAATATAAATGCTAGAGAAGCTGTAGTGAAAGTGAAAACCCCTACATTGTAGGTGGGAATGTAAATTAGTATAACCACTATGGAGAACATTATGGAGGTTCCTCAGAGACCTACAAATAAAACTGCCATATGTTACAACAATTCCACTGCTGGGTATCTACTCAAAGGATAGGAACACAGTCAGTTTGAAAAGTACTTCCACATCTATGTTTATTGTGGCATTATTCACAATTGCTAAGACATGAAATCAGCACAAATATCCAAGAACAGATGAATGGATTGAAAAATGTGACACATATACATTATGGTATACTACTCAAAACTACAATACCCTGACATTTGATAGAAAGTGGATGAATACAGAAAATTCACTGCCAATCAAAGCAAGCCCAATGATGAGAGAGAGACATTGTATGCCCCACATGATATATACAAAATGTCTGTATTCTATGGCAGAAACTGAAATATTGGAAGATATAAAAACTTGGAGAACCTGTGTGCATACTGGAGACAGTGTGGGAGGATGGTGGGACATAGGTAGGATGAGAGGAAAGGAATCAAGGGGAAAAAGAAAGAAAGAAAATATTTAAGGGTTACAAAAATGAAAAATTATCTGTTGATGATAAAGGGTATGATATCTTTTTTGTGTGTGTGTGTAAAACCAGGCCACTTTAATGTTTTTGTAAAATTTAATAAATAATCTTTTGATGACTGCAGACATGTAAGACTGGCTATACTCAGAAACATCAGTCATGATGGTTTTCCAAATTGGTGTATCATCTTCAAAAATTACAAGGAGTGGGACCAGCAGTTAGCGTAATGGCTATGTTGCTGGACTCCCACGTAGTTGACCGCAGTTTGAGTCCTGGACCCGGTGGCTTAAACTCACTCAGGGCGCGTGTGCGTGCCCAGGATCCCAAGAGGAGAATGGAGGAGAAGGGATTGCGGCGTGGCCATCCACCCGGGGGGTGATTTCTCACTTTCTCTCTTTCTGTCTCTCTCTGTCTGGCAAGTGCACGCACCCTGTAGCAAAAACCTCTCCAAAGAAAGAAAAAAAAATTACAAGGAGTTATTTGTATGCAGCTGCTATCAAACCAGTAAAACAGCATTCATGCATCCATCATTTTCAGGATTGTTGGTAACTTGGGTATATTTCCCTCAAATAACCTTGCCTCCTTGTGTCTCAAGGCCCAACTCACTCACTTTCACCTCAATGATAGTACCTTTGGTAATAACACACAAAGTTGTATATAGTGGGGATGAGGGATTCTTCTTTACATCAGGTAGTGTCAGGCAAAAGGTGGCTTTCAGTTCAGGATGTGTTATGTGGGCCTTCTTGAAATGTAAGCCCATTGGCCTAATGAACCTTTCATATTTAGGTGGTTTTCCAGTAAAGCCATCTCCAACAAAGCAGACTTTTAAAACCATCGTCTTCCATACCTTCTTCCTTCTCTTTCCTGTTCAAATAACTGTTAATACTTCTGTTTCTCTCTGGGTGTGAGCTTTGGGTAGAGGGACTTCCCATTTTCCCACTTTCTCTTTCTGTTTTTGTTTAATCATATTGGAAAGCACTTTAACTTGAGACTGTCCTCTGTCCAACAGATAGGCAGGCACTGCTTCTTGTGGTGTCTTTTCATCATTCTTCTGTTTGGTGCTCCTCTTTTCATGCATCTTGATGGTCTTTTTCATTTGTATTTTCTCAGCATGGTGCTGTTTATGATAGAGCTTAGCCTTTAGACCAATCATCTTTTTTTGCCTTCTTTGAATGTTCATGAGCCTCCCGACTTTCCTTCTTTCTCTTTTTCTTATTGTAGTCCAGATGGTATTCATAGTGTTTACGATATAATTCAATGTATTCATTTTGTGGCATGGTGACGACTGCAGAGTTGTCGGGAGCAGCCTCCCAGTCACAAAGAAGTTGTCAACTTTCAGACCGCAGAGACCAACCAAGGGTATGATATCTTTAACTAAACTAAGATACAGTATATTCATGCTGGGAAAATTCATTCTGTATGCTGTCATGTATACAGTGATTTAATGTACAAAAAATAATAACATATATAGAATCCATCCATGCATCTCCATCTCTGTCTTTACTGTCCCTTCTGGGTTCAGCTTCATAGCTGTGAACTCCTCTCAGTCAAGATTCCCCTCTTCCAGACTCCAGTGCTAGTCAGGACAGAATCTGTCCAGGCATCTCCATTTCTGCCTTTGTTGTCCTTTCTGGGTTCAGCTTCATGACTGTGAAGCCCTCCTCCAGTCAGGCTCCCCCCCGCTTCCAGACCTCAGTGCTAATCAGGACAGAATCCATCCAGACATCTCTATCTCTGCCTCTGCTGTCCCTTCTGGGTTCAGCTTCACAGCTGTGAAGCATCCCTAGTCAGGATTTCCTTCGTCCAGACCCCAGTGCTAGTCAGGACAGAATCTTTTCAGGTATCTCCATCTCTGCCTCTGCTGTCCCTTCTGGGTTCAGGTTCATGGCTGTGAAGCCCTCTCAGTCAAGGCCTCCCTTTCCCTTCCAGACTCCAGTGCTAGTCAGGTAGGCAAAGCTTCTCTCTTTCTCTTGTTCTTTTCTGTTCTGTCCAACTTTTTTTTCCCTCTCTTTCTTTTTTAAACAGCTTTCTATTCCCTTCCTTGTGCTTTTCTCTTGCTAATTTGTCAGGCATCTCCATCTCCAGGCATCTCCATCTCTTCCTCTGCTTGCATTCGTGCAGTGCAAGGACGCAACATGGTTTTCCATTTTTAATCTAATTTTACTTTCTGTGATGTGATTTTTGGTTTCTTTTTCTCCTTTTTGTTCTAGTTCTTTCCTTCTTTTTAAATTGCTTTTTCTTCCTATTTCTGTTTCCTACTTTCTTTTTCTATTACCTTACTTTCCTATTTTATTGCTCAGCCCTTACCCATTGCCTAGAGAAGGCTAGGTGCATAGTAGCTAAATATCTGAACATTGTGAGTTTTAGAGAATTCTTTGCCTCTCATTGTACTGGTTGTAAAAAGAGTGAAACTCCCCTTAATAAGTCCAATTTCAAAACTTCTCCTGTGATTCCCACACTGGAGGACATCATAGAAGGGAGAAAATAGCACAGCGTTACTTCACAGTAAGGGAAACACATGAGCTCACAGTCACAGAATCCTTCACCAACAAATAAGTCAAAAGTGAATATATTACCAAGTGACTAAAAATTGAAGAAGAACCTCAAGGATGAATGAATCAAGTAATATATCTCCCACAAGGCAACAGAGTAATTTATCTGTGTAGGGGAAAATGAGAGGATATTACTGAAATGTCAGAAAAAGAATTTAGAATATTTATCATAACGAAATTCTGTGAGTTGCAAGAGAAAAGAGACATTGAGATTTAAGAGGTGACAAAGTCCTTCCACTATATGAAAGAAGAATTGAACACCATAAAAAAGAATTAAGTGAAACTTTTAGATACAAAGTCTGGAAATACAGGAAATCAAAACCTTGCTTGAAAGTATAGGCAACAAACTTGGAGCTGCAGTTGGTGCAATTCTATCTTAAGCTTCACAATGTTTCCCCTGGCCATAAACACACTGAGTCATCTCCAAGTTCAAAGCATTCAGCAAACAATGGCAAAGCTGAGCCAGCAGAAATGGACACCTTATTTTCATGACGAATATGATAATGCTGTATTAGTTAGTGGAGTCACTTTCTGTATTGCTGTATGGACATATACAGCAACACAAATTGGAATAGAATGGAACCTGTCCCCTGTTGGCAGAGTCACTCCATAGGAATGAAGAGATCAATAATCATCCCAGCTGTTATAATATTGAATTGTTTCAAAACCAACTTACAACTGATGCCAAGTAAAAGCACTACCTACTCATTAAAATATGGCATTATTGAAGAAGTAAAGTACATTTGAAACCTTCAAAAAAAAAAAAAAGAAAGTATTAAAAGCAGGTTAGGTTAGACCATTCAGAAGATGGAATCTCTGAAATAAAAGACAAGACATCTGATCTAGTAAAAATTGTCAAAAATACTGAGAAAACAACCAAGAAAACTAAGGATAATATATGAGAAATACTAGATGTCAGGAAACACCCAAACATCTGAATAATTGGTATCCCAGAATGTGAAGAAACTAATAAAGGCATTGATAATCTATTCCATGAAATCCAGGAAAAAAACTTCCCAGGTATAAAGAGGCACTCAGACATTTAGAATCAAGAAATACAAAGAACCCAAAATAGAATCAATCCAAGAAGATTCTCTCCACTGCACATCATAGCTAGATTGGCCAAAATCACAGACAAAACAAGATACTAAGATTGGCAAGAGAGAAACGTCAAATCACTTACAAAGGCTATCCCATCAGGCTAAAACTGGACCTCTCACTGGATACAATACAAACAAGGAAAAAAATGGGGAGATATATTCAAAGTGTTAAATGAAAAACAATTTCAACCAAAAATACCATACCCAGCAAGTTTATCCTTCATATGAAAAAAGAAGATAAAAATGTTCTCAAATAAATAAAACCTTAAAGAATTTACCAACTCCAGACCAGCTCTTTAAGAAATTCTGAAAGGAGTACTATACCAAGTAAACTAAAGGCAGACAGAAATAAGAGAACCAACAACAACCAAGAATATAGCCAACTTAACAG